TAGAGTAATTAATTATCCTTAAAAATTGGTCTGATTAGTACTCTGGGCATTTTTAAGTAAGACCAACTGGTTGAAGTTCCTTATGGTCTGCTCTACTGAGCAAATCTTGAATTTGTTTAATATTTTGTGGTTTGGAGTCCAAAGCATATTCAGGCTTCTAAAGCTGGGGTTTATTGGCAAACTGAGTTTTTCAGATCACTGAAAAAAAATGTTCATCTTCTCAGATCTGACAAGCTTTGTGCTTTTATTCCTGAAACAGGACAGAAAAATTTCTCTTCAAAGACAATGACCTTATTTGCCTGGTATATCTCAGGCCTCTATGGCCCCAGGATGAGAGGTTTAAAACTCGTGACTTGGGGGTGTCGGTGACTACTTCTCTGTGGCAGACAAACCTTGCCAGTCTCCAGATTCTCTGCCTTAGACCTAGAAGATTACGGTGACTTAGAATACAGCCAGAAAAAAATGAAATCAACTACTAAGTTCTAGGCCATTAGAGTTTCCAGGCTCCCTGCAGCAGATTCAAGAGGCAGAGCACAGAAATTGTAGGATGAGCTCCTGCAATACTTAATTTCTGATAAGTCTTACAGTGCAGCTATGCTGAAACTACAGATTGTGGGGTTCTCTCTAACTACTCAGTTAAACAAAGCGCTTGAACCCACCTCCAAGGGCTATGTAGAGAGCTGCTTTAATATCCAAACGGGCCAAAGGGAGGGAGTGGGAGGTGAGGCCAAGGAAGATCAGTAGTTGAGTAGCTTTTCACAAATGACAAGGCTGCAGAAGGGCATGTGTAGCTTAGTTTTTTAAGAGGCTCACCTTGGCTTCAGGGAAGAATTTCTTATTTATTTTGGTTTTTGCTTTTAGATTTCTTGATAAATATTTTCATGCATAATTGCCCTTCGAAACTAGCACCATGTATAGCAAGAATGACTTCAAAATGACCTTAGCATGCGTTAATACTCTTCCCAAATTTGGTGCACCCGTATACCTTCTTCCTATCCTCAACTTCAGTAGCCATAAAGGAAGCTAAATTCAACCATGGGGATGCATTCACACATTAGCTGCAGCAACATACCTGTGATTAGTGTGTGGTGGTTATTGTCAAATACCATGGCAAAGATCTCTGTTTCTCCAGGGCTCTCCTGATTATCATGGAAGACCTGTAGCAGTGTTAGGGTCTGTATATCCCACACTCTAAAAATCTAGAGAGAGAGAAAGGAAAAGTCTAGTACTATAACACGATTGGATTTTCAACTACTTTTGAAAGGGAATATAGCCTTCATTCAAAATCATGCAGTTATGTGTGGTACTTCCCCAGAGCAGCAAACAGAGGCATCTTCACTCCCATTTTACTGAGGCACAAAAAGGCTGAGTTTCTCATAAATTGACAAGTCCACAAAAGAATCACACTTCCTGAGAATCAGCTCTACTCCGTAATGGCAAGATGACTCCATTGTCTCCTGCTTCTTCAGCATGTACAATTAAATGAAAATATTTCAAAAGCTTGTATTTTGAATTGGTCTATTGAACAGAGCATACACTATTTGAACTACTGGCAATATAAAAGTTATTTTCTGAAGCCTCCAGATTAGGAATTTCTGAAATCTTTGACTGACAGCAGCTGCTGGAGCAAATCAGGAACAGGACATATTGCAGAAGAAAGATTTCTATGTCCACATAGTTCTTGGTGTTCTCCATAAGCAACTACAACCAACCACAATGAGGGTAGTATCCTATAAGGAAAACAATGCTCAATATGTTTGTTCTTACTTCCAGTTCCAACAGAGAACACTAAAGTTGTCTCAAACTCTAGAACTTACTGATAAGTATGTTATGTTATATGTTAGTAACACACATTTATCCCAATCAAAACTGGCACTGTAGGTGCTGTAGGTTTGCTGTTCAAATGGTTTTGAATCTTGCAACAAACCATGATGTAATTTCCCAGATTCCAAGGTTTTTAGTGTGGTAAATTTTCTGTCAAGATAATCTTATGCTCTCACAAGTTATTATCATCACCAATAGCTTCCATGTGCAACTCTCAGTTACCAAAACTGTGGTGAATTTTGTATGGACATTTCTGCAAGTTATTTGTAATTTTTCATCTATGTTTTTAAAAGTGCAAGGCTGCACTCTGTTTTTAATGCACAGACACATGCTCTTCTGTGCTCCCATCAATACTGGACCCATCAATGCTGGGAGTGTTCAGGGCTTTGACAAAGGTGCTTGAAGCTTTGGATGAAATATTCTGTAAAATGTTAGTCTACAAAACACGTCAGCACAAACCACAGCAAATATTCAACTGAATTTAGTGGCTTAGCTGTGTCTCAACCAGAAGTAGACCATAAATGCTACTGCTTGCTGTGCTATAGTCCCTGGAGATCTTCCTCTCTCAGCTGTTGCTTATTCATTGTGACCTATCATTCAACTGATAATGCAGTGGATTTTAAAGATGATCTTGAAGCAATTAGTCAACTTCCAGCTTCATAGTCCTGGCCAGGAAGCAGGAAGCAACCAGCCAGCCATGAGCAGGCCTGAGCAGGTTCTCCAAGAGAACAATAATTTTTGGAGTTATGATAAGGTAAATAAATATCAGGACATATCACAGAAGAATGATTTATATGCACACATAGTTCTTAGTGCTCTCCATAAGCAACTACTACCAACCACAATGGATTTTGTTTTATCAAAGCAGTAAAAAGAGCAAGGAATTTCATAGCACACATGAGCAAAATTCAGAACTATGCTTTGCTGCTTGATCTGTCATTATTTTCAGCACCATATTAAGAAAACGCAGTCACTTAAAGAGACAGATCTTTTCCTCCTTTTCTAGTCTGTGGATGCAGGATGGAGATACTAAACGAGTCACTCTTTCACATGAGTAACTTCAACACAAGGCCTCACCAGCATGGCCGTGAGATATAATGTCACTGCTGTTCATTTGCATCAACACACATGGCTGTGCATGAATTCATGCAAAAAGAGTGGCAATGACAGGAATGCTTGTTTTGAACTTAGGAGGTGACTAGTGGGAGTTGCCTCAGGAATATTACATTAATAGTTACTTTATTGTTCTATTTATTTACAGAAGAATATCTGATGGCAGCCTGACTAATTCCAGGAATCCCTGAAACCCTCTGAAAAGATATTCCTTATGGTGAAATACTTCTAGACTGTGTCTTCTGAAACTTGCAGACTGTATTCAAGCAAACAAAACACAATAGGAAAGAGAAAAAAGGAGCTTCAACTACTTTTGGAAGCAGCTTTTTTCTTTTTTTCCAGTTGTCTCTAACTAGCACAAAAAGCTGGTCTGCAGTTACAGTAAGTATCTCTACAGCAAGTAGAGATCCTCATGAGGAGATCATTGTGGACTAAAGATAGCCAGTGGTTGTCAATCAAAAAAAAATCTTTTTGATTAAAATTATTAGTAGTAAGGAATAATAAAAAAGTGACCTTAAAACACTTCTCTAAAGAAAATATGTCAAAAACTCTCAAGAGAATTAAATATTTCTTTTTAATGATTGCAAATTCTCACATCTCTGTCAGTATTTTTTATGTGTTAGGGAATGTTTTTTTCGTGAAATGGACTGGCGAGTTCCCTCAGTTTTATAGATGAATGATTCTGCAAAGCTTTAAAACAGCTGTATGAAAAAAGAACTTCTGCAGGATTCACCAAAATCCAGCAACAATTAAAGCTGATTTTAGACTCACATGCTTAGCTATTCTGCCCCGGTTTACTATACTGTTCAACTCTCAAAACGCCATCAAGGGCTCCATGTTCCACATAAAAAAGTTACAAATTCATCCAGAAGGTCTGAGTCCTTAAAGACAAAAATTGCAAGACATAGCAGAGATCAAACAGCAGTTCTGTTTAATAGAGAAATTATCTGCAGAGAGTGCAGTTGCATATCTTGTGATCCCTTAAGGTGATCCTGTGAGGTATGACAACTCCCTGTAATTATTAGAAGACTTAAGGACAAATTGATGTCAATGGGATTAGCTGTGAGGCTAAAGCAAGGAGGATTTAGCTCTAAGCATATTAATGCAATGTAGTGTAGCAGCTGGCACTACTGCTACTACATCATGAGACAAAAATTTGATGATCAAGACTGTGCATATTTCAAATAACTTTTTCAAATAGTATAGTAATAAGCCTACAAGATATGTATCGGGTTCTATACCATGACTGAACATGTATAAAGGCTTTAGTCTGCTCGGTCTTTAAAGACCTTAATGTCACTGGCATTAAAAGAGCTACAAGATGAGCTACAAGCTACAATGCAAAGATGAAGTGACCCTCAACAGCTTCTGTGGAGCAGTTTCAGTAGGAGTCAGATGCTTTTTAGGAGATAAGCAGGAGGCTAAAAGTGGAGGAAATGACTGCCCATGAACATCTGCATCAGAAGTGCTTGAAAAGCAGTCAACTTCTTCCTATCAGTCTTCAGGCAGTCTTTGAATGTGATGACTGTGCATTTCTCACACTTTAGACATGGCATTTGAAGTAATTTTCAGGTATATAGCTCTTCATTTACATGTTGAAGCTCCCGTATTTCTTCCTTGCTTAGTAGAAAATTCAGTCTGGTTGAAACACTATATATATAGGAATCAGCATGGGCTGAGTAAAGATATAGGTCTGTTTTGGTCTGTAGCAAATACATATTATTTAATATAGTAATCCTCAAATACTTGATCAAATACAGAATAGCTACTGGATCATTTTAGACATTTACGCTGAGAAAAAAAAATTTCCAAAGACACCTCAGTATAATAATATTTCCCCCAAGCACTCCAGCTACCCACCATCTGTATGCATGAGTGTTATAAGAAATGTAGACCACAGAGAAATAAATTATAAGTATGAACTAGAAAAGTATATTTTTAATTAGTTCTTATCCATCTTACATTTTGGACTTTTTATTTGCAGACTATCTAAGGGACTAGGTAATCTGAATAAAGGAAAGGAGGGCAGAAAATAACAAAATTGATTAAGTTACATTAAAAGCCCAAAGAAGAATATTCAATGTTCTTGAAGGATCATGTAACAAAAGAAGAGAATAAAATTCTTAATTTCTAGAAAAAGCAAAAAAAAACAGAAGAATATCTCTTAATAAGAACTCAGCAGCAAGGGAAGGATTAACTTCGACTTGCAAAGTAGCATGTAAAGAAATATATCTGATAAATATGTGGCCACATAATTTCTGTGAAAGGATGACTGAAGCAGATTTCCCAAATGCCTTTTGTTCAAATTATCTTGATTAAATTTAATGATGCTGATATACAGTACACTTCAGTAACAGCCCCGATTAGTAATGGTTTGACATAAGTTAAACATTGTGCTTCCAGCTCATCTGGCCTCATTTTTAAGGAAGACCACTGACTGCATTATAAATGCATCCTGAAAAAATGTAATTTGATTTCAAAATAGGTTAGATAAACAACCATATTAACCCATACAGATGTTAATACAATCACCTATTCAATTCTGAGCAGGTAAGAAACATTTATGACTCCCAGCTAGAATACCTCAAAACAAGCTTGCTATCCAGGAGACCTGGAGAGAAAGGACTGAGACAGATAGCATTAAGGTTTGAGTAAATTTGCAAAAGATAGAAAATGCAAAAATTAATGACATATCTTAACCTCCCTCTGTGCTCTCAGAAACCCATTTTCTGGTTTTCATCAATGGGTTTAATTAGACAAGTTCAGCTAGGTTCAGTAAGTTCTGTCCATGGGTTCAGTAAGGATAAGAAACATATCTAACAGCATCAACTTATTATGGACAGATTTCAATATAGAAGCGTTTGTGTGCTTAAAACAAGATGTCTGCACAGGATTTTCATGAAATTCTGAATCAAATAAAACTCTGCATGACCCACAACAGAAATGCAAGAAATCAACTATTTACTGCACTTCTCTACTAACGTGTACATATATGCATCCCTCTTGTGGTATTAGCTGTCAGAAGTGTCATTACCTTGAAAAAGAGAAAGGTCTAAGAACATTCTCTCCACTGATCTGAACCATGGCTCTGTAATGTTTATAAACAATATTGCATAGTGTTTTAAAGGATGGGAAACTACTCCTTACCTTTGCCCCCTCTGATGAGCAAACAAAACTGCAATTGATTTCAGGCATTCAAGCCCATAGATCAGATCTTGCTCACCTGACTTTCAAGCAGCCTCATTCAACCAAACCATCACTG